CCAATACTTATTCCTGTGTTTCTTACATCATCTGTCCGAGGGATCATTATAGCTTTCGCATATAATACTTTGCTTTCCAAGGTTTCTGTTGGTCTCCAATCACTTCTTGTATTTTCTTCTTCTTCCTCTTCGAGTTTCCTTTTTCTTGTGTTTATCCAATTATCATACTTTAGGAGATCTGAGGCATGTTTTGCCAAGCGCTTATCAGCTTCCCATTCACTTATATAGCCTTCGCATATCTTAATAATTTTTCCGAGTTCTTCCTTAATTTCGCTTCTATATTTATAAAAATATATTTCTAATTTTTCTATGTACTCTTTAAATTTATGCATATTACTAGTGGTTCTCTGATTATTAGTATTAAAAAGATTAACTTTGTTATATATTTCAAAAAGATATTCCATTATTTTAAAAGTATCACCATCAATATGTATTAAATGTTTCAGGCATATATCAGATATTTGTGTATCTAAGCCATTTGCCTTATGATTTGCCATTTCCAGATAACAACTTTTAGCATCATTACATTTTAAATTAAATTTATCCATTATATCTTTTTTTAGTTTATAATAGAATAATTTACAACACCTTTGCGCATGTTCATTTTTATTTGTTTCTATATGCTTTAAATATAAACCAAGAACACGACATAGTTGTGAAAATTCTGTGGATCTATTTTCAGTTGTTAATTTTAAATTAAGGCCACTACACAAAGTTGTGAATTTATTAGCATCTCCCCGACCTCTAAATGCCCCTGTATCCCAGTCGAAACCATCTGTACATTCGGGAAATACACCATTAAAATCGAACTATAAATCAAAGTAATAATATGAACAAAAATTATTAAATTTTTAAGAAAAAAATTTGGCTTTAATTTTTAATAAATATGACATTTTAAAACTATGATTATTAAGTTTGTTTTTATTAAACATTTAAATTATACGTATTCATCCTCTAATTTAGTGTCACTCATCATATTATATATATCTTCTACAGATAATAAATATGTTCTAAACTTTTTATAATAAATTTTTACTTGTTAATAATATCAGCATAAATATTATATTCACATCACATATAATAATGCATATGATGCTGCTTAATTCTACATATATTATATTAAATTAACACTTTTTTAAATTCATTATTCATCTAAAACTTTGTTAGTATTATTCATTCTAGGAAAGATGAGGTTATTTAATTCACATATCATAATATGAAAAATAAATTCATATAGTTCCAAATATATAATAAAGTCTAAAAGAAAACTATATTTATAATAACTTTATATGTAACATAAATTTTATAATATTGTCAATACATATAATAAAATAATTTTTATATGTAATATAGTAAATAAATTTATTATAAATTATTTATTTTATGTCCTTAATTATATTGTAAAAATATGTGTAATCTTATATCTATAAAATATTATAGTTCAAAACACATGGCTCATAATGCATGCATGTGCATATACTTTTTTTTTTTTATTTTTGTTTTAAATATTTTAATTTAGTAAATTATATAAAAGGTAATAAGACATCGATTACATTTTTATAAAATATATTAGGGTCAAAGAGTATAATATATCATATTTTATGTGAATAATATTAAAATAATGTAAATACTACATCATAAACGCTTACAATATATACATACATAAATGTTATTGTATAGTGCACTGTAAATAATTATATAACATGATTATATATATATTTATTATAAATGTGTTATTTATGTGTTATATTATATGATATTTTATTCATTTAAATGTTATATTATATATGAATATGAAGAATAATAAAAACATATAATTTTATATTATATATCATACCCAAGTATATTTTATAATGAATAAACATTTTTGGAATTATATAAGTTTATAATTATATAAATTACTTATAAAAAAAAATTCATACAGTTTTGATATAGTCTATTTATTTATGTTTTTTTTATATGTTATTATTCAAAGTAAAATTATTCCATAATATATTGTATTATTTTTTATTTTAATTTTTTAATAATTTTATTATACTAAAATTATTCATGCCAGATATATCAAAAAAATTTTTTAATTCGTGAATTCTATTAAATGAAACGATAGTTATTCCTCTATATAATCAAAAAAAAAAAAATAATATAATATATATATTAATGTTTTTATAACAATTTTCGCATATAATTTACACAATATTAATTACATAATGATATTTTTATTCATTTAATTTAAATATTTATTTAAAAAAAAATTTCTCTTATATTATTTATAATCCTATTAAATGATAAGTAAAAAGAGGCCATTATAATTTGACGTAAATTTTACATAACATTTATGTGAATAATATGATTAAAAAAACAATTTATCTATTACACATATTTAAATAAAATAAAATATACATTGTATTAAATCTATATAGATCAAATATCAACAAAAAATAGTTTTTATTGGATTTATACTTAATAATTGCTATCATTTCTTTTACTAAATTACCATACAAATGCTGTAATATTTATTGTATATGTTACATAAACTTTAATTTTTCATTTAGATATTATTAAATAAATGTACCTTCTCCTATAATAATAAACTATTATTTCTTCTTTACATATTATATAAGAACTTCACTAGTATATTAGTATAATAGAACTGATATAGTTTTAATACTATTGTATTATGGTATTATGGTATAAAATTAGTTATATGTCTCAAATTATTATGTATATAATATGTGTAGATTCATTAACTGAATATAACCAAATATATAACATATTTTAAACGTATATATTTAACATATTACTGAATTTAAATAATGAAAATCCGTAAATTGGATGGGAATAGTAGGCAATAATATGATAATATATATCTGTATTAATATAGGTAAATACAATATATAATAAAAGACGAAAATAATAATGCTATTTTTATGTAATGTAAAATTTTTATTAAAACATACTTTTTCTAACACATAAATATACATATTTCATTTTTTAATAAAATTAGTTTTTACCATATTGAGATTCTATCTAGAGTAATAATCTATGTTATTACTTTTTTTATTGGATATTTTTAAATTATATTTTTTTTAAAAATATTAATAAATATTTATTCCTACTAAATTTCTCCATTAGTCTTGTATATTTTTTTATTATTATCCTGAGTATTAGAAAGGGTAAGATGAATACCTGACTATAAATAATAAATTTTATTATATAATTTTTATTATAATCTATACTAATACAAATAAATTAAATATAATTGTATGAAACAAACATATGCTATAAATATATTTATATACTAAATAGTATATGTAGAAGTATAAAAATTTTTCAAACTATATAGGGAAATTGTTTAATAGGGATTAGTAAATAAAAATCTAAGTGCCCATTAATACGAGCATTTTTTGAACTTTTTATATATATAGTTGTATATTAAGACATAACATATATGTGCGTTATATTTTTAAAATTTATTAAAAAATTTTAATATAATTTATCCTTTAGGCTATAGAGTGTTATTATGAATTTTTAGAATTTAGGATAAATACATTTTGTAGATAAATATTTCTTATAATTTAGACTACAACTTATTGTTGATAGAATTATAAAAAATATCATTATAATAAATTAAATATAACTTAATGTTCTAAATATATCAATGATTTTAATTAATATATTATACATTAATATATATAATTCAGTATTGTTATAAACGTTTATATGATACAATATGTTCATATATTCAAATGCATGATCCTAGATAAAAGTATATAGTATTCATGGATTTGAAATTTTGGATTGATATATAGTGTTTTAGGGTTTAGGATTTTATATATATCTTTAAGGTATCATATTTATATTTATTTTTAGGACTTGTTTTATATCTATTAGATTTTTGTTTTAGTACTTAATGTTGAATTATAATATATGTTATATATATTTGGATTACACTTAACAAAATATATATTCTTTATTACTCTTTTATTTTTATGGCATGTATACCTATATGTACTTTAAAGAATTATGAATTTTAAATATTTCATATTATTAATGTTAATTATAAGGAGAATAAACATAATAATAATTTATTTTATATAGAATAGAAAAATTTCTTTTCTATTTATATATTCTGTTGTATTAGTTTTTTTATTGTTCGAAAACAGTGTTTGATGTATCATATGTTAACATTGTCTTATAGTAAAAATATATTATTTTATATATAGAAATTTTGTTCTACATTATTATACACAATTTATATTTATCATTTTATTATTGTATATAATATTAA